CGTGATGTTGGTGAGCGATGATATTATTGTATGTGATTTTATTCCTTGAGTAAATATTAAGCTGCTGCTTTCTAGTTTTATTCATTTCTTAATTATTAGATTTTTGTAGTGTTTCCGCTTTCTGATTAGCTGAATTGCCCACGCGTTGTTTGCATTCGTTCCCACTGAATGTAAAAATGATAAGCCACGCCCACCGAGGCAGAATACTTTTATTATTATGGAATGTTGGGAATCCCATATATTACAGTCGAGGGAGTATTGCTCAGGACATTTAGCGAAAGTGATGCATATTCTTTGTCCAAACTAACCTTTGAGACCGAAGGCCGAGAAGGAATGAAACAGCAAACATGCAGGCTAGCTCACCTGTTCTTTTTTCTGCTGGCATCAGTTCCACAACTTTCATGTCTTCAGGTTTCAATTCTAACTAGCATTTTCCCCGCTGTGTGTTCCCGTTCTCAGAAAACAAATGTTTGAATCTGACGTTCTCTCGGATATATGTGTTCAGGTAACGGTCTGACTGAGGCAGTTCTTCTTGCCTCTTGCCTTGATTGACAGGTCCTATGGGCATTGTTTTTGATCCGTTGATTGGCTACTGGGCATGTTTAGTTGTGTGTATTATTTAAACAATCACCTGATTAATGTTACGCCAGAGTATGTATTCCTACACCTTGAATGTTTATCAAGCTCGTCATTTTTATCTGCTTTGATGGATACAACTGTTTTTGGTTAAACTATTGTAGATATAAAGAATACTAAACTTGTTCACGTGTCATACCAATTTTATGAAACGAGAGAATAGTCCTGGCACCTGACGAGCTAAAGTGAATGAGATACCAGAACTATTCTCGAGTTTCATGAATTTTGTATTACACGGGAGAGAGTTTAGTATTATATTTAGGACTTGCCGTTTATGATATTTAAATGTTTTTAATTTCACTGTCGTGTGTAATCTACGCGATCCACAGCTAATTGGAATTGATCTCAAGCATGTATAAAGTTGACACGTATCAATTTAATACCTTGCAACAACCTTTAGAATTCCACTGAGCTGTTGTAGCGTTATCAATACTCCCATACAATAACATAGACCTACCACTGGCATGGGTGGAACGGGGACCTGCACCACAAAGTTTAGAACAAGTCACAATGTCCTATGTGACAAAACAATTCCATGTGACGACAGCCTAGCAACAGGGATGCTGGGAAAATCGTGTGCGTATAAGCTCCTTTCAGTGATCTGTCATCTCTACACACATTGTCATTGAAAAAAAGAGAGGGATGTTGTGAGTTTTCAATGTGTGTGAGTGAAACTTGTTGCCACAGTACATAAGCACGGCTTTGGTATTATACCATGTGTAATACAGCTGTATCCTTATTAAACGGGTGATCTGTTCACGGGCGAGTAATCATGTTTTCGTTGTTGAATTTAATTATATGCATCGGCTGTGTATTTTTGTCGGTTCATTGAGGTATGAATCGAAAAACCGATGTGCAAACTTTTGTAAGAATCCACAACTGAACGAAATCCTTGATTACATTGCAGACGGGTGGGTTATTTTAGAGAGTAGCTAATGGAAACAAAGAGTGATTTGCTTCTAGACATTCTATCTGTATTTATCTGCATTTATCATACAGTCCAAGTCATACACACAGCATGGTCTTAAATGTGATCTGGTACAACGTTGTGTCTGTGGCAACCGAATTGGCCAACAATTTCCGGAGAATCTGGTGGCAGTACTCTGATTTTCTTCTATATTTGCAATGCACATAAAGTCAGCAATCTTACCCACTCTGCCATAGAGGCTTCAACTAAATTGAAAGTCCGACAGTTGGTAGTCCAGCTCACGTACTTTGTGTACCCATCTGACAAATGTACATGACACGGCTCACATGGCTGGTGGTTGAGTGGGTTAGGTAGCCAACTTTGTGTGCTAGCGATTAGGTGCTTAACTCTGGTAGTGTGGATTCTAATCCCAGTTTGGACTTCACAAAGGAAATGCTATCCGCAACATAAAATTCGTTACTAATTGTATTTCGTTGTTAAATATGTTTTTGCACTCTGATATTTTCCAGACTTTTGATACACCATGAAGGAAATATTACTAACGATATATTTTGGAATTCTGCTTGAGATCAAATTACAGATTGACAAGCTTACACAGTCAATGCCTCTTCTCAGGTAATGAACGTATTGACTGAACTGTTCAGTTAAAATGCATATTGCTTGATTATTGTACACATTTTACTCGCCGTCAGTTGCAATACAATGTGTGCTGGGTGCGTTTTCATTGTAGCTATTATACAATGATAACACATTTTATATGTATTATATGTATGTCTACATCGCATGTGTGCGAGTTTGCATTATAACTCAGCCATCTCGCCCTGTATCCACCCTCTATATTGTGTCTTCTACAATAACACAACTATGTTTAATCACTGACCCGCTTGTACTTTGAACTTACTACTTCCTCCACAGTTGTCGTGGGAGCTGTAAGTGTATCAACGTCCGGATAATATTTCCCGATGTCATGGTCATAGTAAATAATTTCCTGTAAAAAAACAAAATAACTGAATTACATGTGACTCTTGCTCAGGCGATTGTTAATTTGCTTTTTTTTTTATCAATATTACAACATCCAAGGCCTCAGTAAAGCTTTTAAAATGTTGTATGGCAGACACGTGGAAGACTTTTCCAAATTTGACGCATGTGACAAGTTTGATGTTCGATACATTTTCTACTGTCGCCTTGTCCTGTATGTTCCCATGTTTTTTTTAAGAAGAACAGTTGACTTTATTTGCATGTGTAGGCGACGGGTGCCACCGTCGTGTCAGGATACGCATTTTATCTACTTAAAGCCGTCTCATATACTGAAAACTCGACAACTCAGGCGGTCTGGGATATCTCCACATGTATTCTCCCCCCCCCACCCCCACACACACACACACACACACACACACACACACACCCCCCCCCCCCCCCCCCCCCCCATTCCCCCCAAAAAGTAGGAGATAATCGAAAAATAAGTGATACCGAAAATGTAAAGACACATTGAGTGTTGGTAGTGTGTGTATTAGAAAAGGGAGTGGCATCAACAGAACATTGTATTGTGTATTAAAAAGAACAAAGAAAGACGACAGGGATGTTAAGTAAAAAAAACGTTTGATTTAGCTTGAGCAATAATGGGTCATGTCCCAACGATAGTGGTCAAACATTCGTTGATGCAATTCTGCATGGTCAGAGTCAACCCATCAAGGTAAATTCGAGATGTTTGGCCAATGCAGCAATTGACCTTTAACAATACGTGTGCAGTGAGTACAAGCGTTATCATCTTAAATTACATTTTGGGTCGTCAATTTCAAATCGTCTGGTCAGTGACCTGAACTCCTGTGGCCAAACAACTTTTCCACGTCGGGTCATAGTTGTTGGCATGTTGATAGCACTAAAAAGCTAAGGCTCCTTTCCCTATACTAAGGACATGACTGCTATTGCCTCACTAGCATTGCCTCATAAGGAAACATCGGCTAACTATGGTATATTAATTTCCCCAAATTTAATATTAGTTCACATGAGTTGTTATCGGTGTCAACTACTTATTATGTGATATAACTATTAAAACATGAAGGACCACTTAGTTATATGTGTTTCATGTGTTTTATTTGCAGGGTAAACCTTGACTATGACTGTTCATGAAATGTCCTTATCGCTCAGAAATATATTTCCCACTTTCTACTGTCTTTCTACAGTTCTGTGTACACGTTCTAATGAATGTTAATCCAACAGGAATATTGTAGTGCATGAACTCGAATGTTTTTAGTTTGATTTTCAGTTTACTGAAGGTAGTGGCAAGGTCAAATTCATAACAAAATTGATTTATGCTTGTATTTTGTTTGATTGTGAAATCAAAAACACCTTTTTCTGGAGATAGTAGAACATTTATGGGAGAGATATGCATCAATCTTTTTTTTCGGATTGTAATCCTGGGACAAAAAAAAACAATATGTGTTACATTTTGGTTTCTTCTGCAAATATGCTCTCAAAAAGTGCCAAACGTCTGCCGGGTACGTATCACTATGTCAATTGGCCTGAACATTTTGGCCACTATAAATTGGTTTAAAAAGAATGGCGCAACTGCAACTCAGTTTTAGTGACATTTCAGACACAATCGATCAAAATGAAGAAATACACACTCAATATAATTCACACAAATTAATGATAATATCAGACCAGATCGTCCACCATTTACTCATATCAACCTGTCGCCTCGTGAATTGGAACCTGTATGTTCAAGGATATAGATATCATATTATCCAGACAGTTGCAATGCAAGTATCACGTTGACGATCCCAGGTGCAATTCTGAAAAACAACAACGCATGAACTGCCATGGACAACCTCAACAGCAGCAATGTGCAGGCCCTGCCTTGGCTAGCATGTTCACTGGGTAGCAATCGAATTTAAAGTGTGTGAGACCACATGGACAGACAGATAATAGATGGACAACAGTGACTCGTCATCTGAATACAGCACAAAAAAAGGCTGTTTTAGGGGAGTAGGGGAGATTCTCGCATGACGTAATCGAGCGATTGACGACGTCAAGGTGACGATGCGTGGGAGGTTGCATTAAAGCAGATCGCGGACAAAACGTTCTTAGTCACCCGGCAGAAACATTAACAGGAACAATTTCAGTTTCATAACAAATGTCTATGAAATCGCTCTATCACAACTCTTTTGAACTAAAATATACTTTGCCGTGTTAATTCGTGCTTGTAGTGTAATGATGACCTAATTAATCACATTCATGTTACCAAGGACATTTGTTTTTGTTTCCTTTTACTGACATTCAAACCAATGGGATTTTTGTTTGCCCTTCAGTTTGCTAATTTTATTTTCCGTGTAATGAGGAAAAACGCCATGGAATAAATTAGATCATCACGAATCATCTTCGTTAGATGCATACAGCCGGCCGATGAACTTATCACTCACTTTGGCTGCGTTGATCGAACACGTGAGTTGAATGTCACGATGGTGACATACTTCTTTAACTAGCATCGTAACATTAATGTATGTATCAGATGTATGTTCTTGTATTTCATGACATCTTCTGTATTACAGGTAGAAGATGTCTACCCTGGTGGTTGTGCGCATTGCCTATCTGATCATGTCTACAGGTAAACATTCTGATATTAGTTAAATAGTGAGGTGATGTGAAATGGGGTTTAACGTCGCATCCAAGATTATTGCACTTATATAGCGACGTGCATGAAGGTGTGTGTGTGTGTCACTGCTTATACTTGTCCGGACTGATGCCGATTGATAGTGCTTGCTCACTTAGATGATAACATGAATACCCCACTCAGACACAGTCTACTGACTCTGAGCTGGCCAGTCCTTGTTTTAGTCCCTTAATGCCGAGCGCCAGACAGGGTAACAACAAGCACCATCTTATAACGTCTTTTGGTAGGACGCGGCCGGGACTCGAACCTCTGACCTTCAGTTCTCCAGGCAGACGCTCTACCAGTAGCCTACGGAGGCTGTATTAGTTAAATAGTTAAAAATCATACTTCTTTGTGACTTGTTCTAACTATGACATGTTTGTGTTATAATCATTTTTTAAAACAATGAACATATCCAGGCCAGCTATATATGTGTTGTCCTTCTAGGGTTGACTTGGTAGAGATTCAGATCCTTGATACCCGGCTTAATTTACTAATGTATTCTTTGTACGATTTCCAGCTGCCATTTGCAGTGAAGACCAACACTGCCGAGACTGTTACAACGACACTGGCAGTTGTCTGACCGAGTGTGACAGTGGTTATTTCGACCTGAAATGTAAGTCGCTTTGCAGCAGGAACTGTAAAAATAAGAAATGTAAATCTGTGAGCGGTGGCACAGAAGTATGCACAGAGGGTTGTGTCCCAGGGTATCAGGGCGGTAGGTGCAACATACCATGTGACAGTCCAGGAGGTAACTGTACAGCATGTCCAGGTGGTTGTGATGGAGGATACTGCCAGCTTAGTTCAACCTGTGTATCAGGATGCAGTGGTTCCTACTATGGATCTGACTGCAAACAATGTTCAAGAAGATGTAAGACATGCAATGGCTATACAGGGATGTGTGAGGAGTGTTTCCCACAATATTTTGGACCGAACTGCGATTATTTATGTGAACACTGTAGGGACACGTGTCAATTCGGATGTCTGCGTGGCTGTATACCTGGCTTTTATGGTGCTGCCTGTGAGAAGGAATGCAGTACAAACTGTGGATCTAGCCCAATGATGTTAGACAATAAAACTGCTGACACACGACCTGTATATAATGACACAGTTAAATGCAATCAGTACAGTGGTGATTGTCTGCATGGATGTGTCGATGGCTTGTTTGGTCCACAGTGCTCCTCAGAGTGTAGTGTCAACTGCAGGAATGGGACATGCAACGATGTAGGTGACTGTGTAGATGGATGTGTAGATGGTCGGTTTGGTCCACGCTGCTCCTCACGATGTAACCTTAATTGTAGGAATAGGAGATGCAATGATACAGGCGACTGTGTAGATGGTTGTTTATCTCATCATTTTGGAAGAAACTGTATACCATGCCCTGACAACTGTATCCACCACACATGCCATAAAAGCTATGGAACTTGTGTTCATGGATGTACTAATGGATTCTATGGACAATCGTGTAACAACACGTGTGAATTCTGTCTTGGTGGAGAGTGTGACCAAATGTTAGGAATGTGTTTCAAAGGCTGCAACGTGACCGGACAAAAATGCCCATCTGTCTGCAGAAACAACTGTACTGTGGACGATTGCCAATCATGTCAAGGTGAGTTTATCAAAAGGGAAAGGAAATCAAATATGTGTCAATTGCATTCTCTCAGCAATTGATTGATATGTATGTAAGTGTATGTTTAGGTTAGGATTAAGTTATTATGTAAAGTTTTACGCCTACGCCAGGCGAATAAGTTGAGTTGTTGTTTGCTTGTGTAATTGTAACAATAATCCAGCTCCCTTTGTACTTCTGATATTCGTACCAACATATGTAGCAATTCCAGGTACATGTATCAACTTTACCTGTATTTATTTGAACTTATTAAAAGAAAGTTTGAATAGGTTACGCTGAAATGGCTTTGACTTTCCAGATGAAAGTGAGATGAACACGTCAATAGGACTACCAACTGGCCTTACAGCAGTGGTCATTGTGATTGTGATTATTGCATGCATGTCTGCTATCAAACGTAGGAGAGCTATAAGGTACGTATGTCGGAGTCGGATATATTCGTATTTCTTTCCGTAGATTTTGAGTGTACGTTTTATGCTGAGGCTGAATAGTATTATGATGTATTCATTATACTCGAAACTTGTGTTGACATGCATCTTTCGTCTCTCCTACTGCAGAGCACAACAATCATCAATTGTTCAACACAACGATGAAGGAGCTCAGGATGATATATATTCTGTAGAATACCAGGCCACACACAGATATTGGCAGATCAGAGATGAAGATATAGAATGCCAGGCCATAAACAGATATTGGCTGATCAGAGATGAAGATATAGACATGGCCTGTGTTCCGCCAATTGTGAACCAAGAGGAACGCGGACACGGACTTGCCATGCCTGTTTTGGCGGAATGTTTTCCTACAGCAGGTGGAGTAGCAGACAGGCTCAATGATGCAACCCAGAGTTCTGCCGGAGACAACCAGTCCTACATTCCAATGTCTCAGAATGTCGCAGACAGTGGTGCAACCCAAAGTTCTGCCGCAGGTAACCAGTCCTGCACTGATATGTCACAAGATGTTGCAGACGGTGGTGCAACCCGGAGTTCTGCCAGTGAGAACCAGTTCTACTTTCCAATGTCACAATATGTTGCAGACGGTGGTGCAACACAGACATCTGCCGGAGATAACCAGTCCTACACTGACATATCACGGGATCTTCCAGACAGCGATCCTGATACATCCCAGAGTTCTGCCAGTGACACACAGTCCTACACCCACCTCCTGCGTGATGTGTTAGAAGAGGACCCCAAGACAGTCGTGAGCTACATATCACCAGTGGTTGACTAATCGCATTTCAGATATATCACTGCAAGTCTGTGATACACTTTATCATATTTTGGTAAGGTTTTTCGACAGATGACAGATATGGTAGGTACTACTTTCAATTACTAGTTTTCATTCTGGATACTTGCCATCTCAAAACACGCGCGTAAAAACGTCTTCTCATTTGTATTTCAAAGACCATATTCCGGTTACATTGTAACCATCGACTATGCGATATTCTATTGATGTTACAACGTCACAAAAAAGATGTGCGACATCATTAACAATGAATGACATCATCTTAATGTTTATGTAACAGTGCATATGTAACAGTAGCGTTGATATTCAATTTTTTTAGCTGCAAAAACAGAATAATTTTATGAGGATAAAAAAAGTGTTATAACTTAGATTTAGTAAAACTAACTATGTTTCCTGTGTGTAATAGTATAATCATTTGATGAGGAAACAATAAATATATTTTTTTGACAAAATGTATAACACATAATGTATATAGAAGATATGATATGATAGACACACGGGTGTCTAAATTCCAATATTTCCCGAGCGTCCTATTTATTATCGAAGATGTCTACAAATTGTCGAATGACGGCAACAACCTTCAGCTATGACGTCGTTTTTGTGTGTGACTCACATCAGAAGAAGATTCAAATGACGTCAACAATGCAGTCCGGATGGATACAATACAATGTCATCTCGTGACGTGATATGACCCGAGGGCACATGTGCTTTCTATATGAACACCGATATGTTTGCCCTTGTAGGTAATACAACTTATGACAATGTTTCTCCAATTAGCTTTGGCTTTCGAACGTAACCAAGTACACAGTCGATTTTGTACATAGGTTCCTTATTTGTTCTGACACTAGAAGATATTGCGAGGTCTTGAAATGTTAGGACAAAGGCTTGATATATATATTTTTCTTTTATTCTCAAATATTCACATAACACCTCAAGGTTTATGTTCCTAAAATGGTATCAGATATGTGCCTAAACTATACTGGTAGGATTCAGATCCTTAACCTTGCGTTGAATACTCCCAAGGAAGCTGAGAGTGAATAACGAGTTTCACCCTGACCCTTTGATTTGTGTAATGATCTTAGTGTTTTGAGCTTACACCTTGTGTATGGAGGCTAGCATATATCAATGTACACATTTTTATCAGTAGTCTTATTATTTACAGATTCAAATATATAATGCATCAAAGAGGGTTTGAGTGATTATGGACGTCACATTACACCTGGTTCCACTTCGCTGTCGGTTGGTAATGCTGTGATGATTTAGACGTCATATTACTTCTGGATCCACTTTGTCATCAGTTGGTAATGCCGTGATCATTCAGACGTCACATCACACCTAGTTCCACTTCGCTGTCGGTTGGTAATGCTGTGATGATTTAGACGTCATATTACTTCTGGATCCACTTTGTCATCAGTTGGTAATACTGTGATCATTCAGACGTCACATTACACATGGTTCTACTTTGCTTTCATTTGGTAGTGCTGTGATGATTTAGACGTCATATTACTTCTGGATCCACTTTGTCATCAGTTGGTTATACTGTGATCATTCAGACGTCATATTACACCTGGTTCCATTTTGCTGTGTGTTGGTAATGACGTATTCACTAAGCCGTTATATTACACCTGGTTCTATTTTGTCATCAATTGGTAATGCAGTGACCATTCAGACATTGCATTACGTCTGTCTCCCCAATGTCATCTGGGTGTATTGTGATCATCATTCAGACATTGCATTACGTCTGTCTCCCCAATGTCATCTGGGTGTAATGTGATCATCATTCAGACATTGCATTACGTCTGTCTCCCCAATGTCATCTGGTTGTAATGTGATCATCAATCAGACATTGCATTACGTATGTCTCCCCAATGCCATCTGGGTGCAATGTGATCATCATTCAGACATTGCATTACGTCTGTCTCCTCAATGTCATCTGGGGGTAATGTGATCATCATTCAGACATTACATTACATCTGTCTCCCCAATGCCCTCTGGGTGTAATGTGATCATCATTCAGACATTGCATTACGTCTGTCTCCCCAATGCCGTCTGGGTGTAATGTGATCATCATTCAGACATTACATTACGTCTGTCTCCCCAATGTCATCTTGGTGTAATGTGATCATCATTCAGACATTACATTACGTCTGTCTCCCCAATGCCCTCTGGGTGTAAGGTGATCATCATTCAGACATTACATTACGTATGTCTCCCAAATGCCATCTGGGTGTAATGTCATCATCATTCAAACATTGCATTACGTCTGTCTCCCCAATGCCATCTGGGGGTAATGTGATCATCATTCAGACATTGCATTACGTCTGTCTCCCCAATGTCATCTGGGTGTCATGTGATCATCATTCAGACATTGCATTACGTCTGTCTCCCCAATGTCATCTTGGTGTAATGTGATCATCATTCAGACATTACATTACGTCTGTCTCCCCAGTGCCCTCTGGGTGTAAGGTGATCATCATTCAGACATTACATTACGTCTGTCTCCCCAATGCCCTCTGGGTGTAAGGTGATCATCATTCAGACATTACATTACGTATGTCTCCCCAATGCCATCTGGGGGTAATGTGATCATCATTCAGACATTGCATTACGTCTGTCTCCTCAATGTCATCTGGGGGTAATGTAATCATCATTCAGACATTACATTACATCTGTCTCCCCAATGCCCTCTGGGTGTAATGTGATCATCATTCAGACATTACATAACGTCTGTCTCCCAAATGCCCTCTGGGTGTAATGTGATCATCATTCAGACATTATATTACATCTGTCTCCCCAATGCCCTCTGGGTGTAATGTGATCATCATTCAGACATTACATAACGTCTGTCTCCCCAATGCCCTCTGGGTGTAATGTGATCATCATTCAGACATTATATTACATCTGTCTCCCCAATGCCGTCTGGGGGTAATGTGATCATCATTCAGACATTGCATAACGTATGTCTCCCCAATGCCCTCTGGGGGTAATGTGATCATCATTCAGACATTGCATAACGTCTGTCTCCCCAATGCCCTCTGGGGGTAATGTGATCATCATTCAGACATTGCATAACGTATGTCTCCCCAATGCCCTCTGGGGGTAATGTGATCATCATTCAGACATTGCATTACGTCTGTCTCCCCAATGTCATCTGGGTGTAATGTGATCACCATTCAGACATTGCATTACGTCTGTCTCCCCAATGTCATCTGGGTGTAATGTGATCATCATTCAGATAAAACTTTACACCCGATTCCACTACCGTTGATTGTGAAGTATGCGACTTGTTTCAAATTGCCCACCCGGACTGTGCAGCCTACAAATAGTCTTGAGCAGGTCTAGTTGATCTTGTTGAGATAATGATAAAGGGGCTGGGGGGATGCGTGTGTGTGTATGTGTGTGTGTGTGTGTGTGTGTGTGTGTGTGTATCTGTGTATGTGTGTGTGGGGGGGCTGGCGGGTGGGGGGTGGTCGTCCAGGGCCTTCCGATCGTTGTCGTTATCCATCGAGTTTGTTGCGTACATCTATTTAACGGGTGTGGTGCAATGTTAATCATGTTTGCTGCAATATTCTGACTAGTACCAATACGAAATACCAATGCTGAATGAAAGAAAATGTTTGCACCGTTATTTGCACACTAACTATTGATGAAGTGTTGTGTTGTGTATCTATAACAGTTATGTGAGACACTGAGGTTTTCATAACAATGGATGACAGTGTTAAATCTGATAACAAATCGTCTTGTGTACTGATGTATCTGGGCGTTAAGTTATCACATAAAGAAAAAGGAATGCGAGTTTCGATTTCCTTTTCTTAATTAACAGTATAATGCACACATAATGACCCAATACCAAAATATTACTCCCTGTATGATAATATGCATGTATCTATATATTGCGCTATCCATAGTATCATGCTATTTTAATACCTCACACGTTTTTATGTATACTGTATATGACGAAACAATTTCTATGTGTAGATAAGATATTGTATATCTTTATGTCATTCCAAAAATGTACGTCTGTGAATTCTGTTCACGTATGTAATCACAGATAAAGATATAAAATACTTTATTTAATGTTGAGGATGTTATTGTGTGAAGACATTTTGTTCAGGTATGTAACCATAGATAAATATATATAATACTGTATTTAATGTTGAGGATGTTATTGTTTGAAGACATTTTGTTCACGTATGTAACCATAGATAAAGATATATAATACTTTATTTAATGTTGAGGATGTTATTGTGTGAAGACATTTTGTTCAGGTATGTAACCATAGATAAAGATATAAAATGCTTTATCTAATGTTGAGGATGCTATTGTGTGAAGACATTTTGTTCACGCATGTGACCTCAGATAAAGATATATACTACTTTATTTTATGTTGAGGATGTTATTGTTTGGAGACATTTTGTCCAGGTATGTAACCATAGATAAATATATATAATACTTTATTTTATGTTGAGGATGTTATTGTTTGGAGACATTTTGTCCAGGTATTTAAACATAGATAAAGATATATACTACTTTATTTAATGTTGAGAATGTTATTGTGTGAAGACATTTTTTTTAGGTATGTAACCAAAGATAAAGATATATACTACTTTATTTAATGTTGAGGATGTTATTGTTTGAAGACATTTTGTTCAGGTATGTAACCATAGATAAAGATATATGCTACTTTATTTAATGTTGAGGATGTTATTGGCTTAAGACATTTTGTTCAGGTATGTAACCATAGATAAATATATATAATACTTTATTTAATGTTGAGGATGTTATTGTCTGAAGACATTTTGTTCAGGTATGTAACCATAGATAAAGATATATAATACGTTATTTAATGTTGAGGATGTTATTGTCTGAAGACATGTTGTTCAGGTATGTAACCATAGATAAAGATATATGCTACTTTATTTAATGTTGAGGATGTTATTGTCTGAAGACATTTTGTTCACGTATGTAACCATAGATAAAGATATATAATACGTTATTTAATGTTGAAGATGTTATTGTGTGAAGACATTTTGTTCAGGTATGTAACCATAGATAAATATATATAATACTTTATTTAATGTTGAGGATGTTATTGTTTGGAGACATTTTGTCCAGGTATGTAACCATAGATAAAGATATATACTACTTTATTTAATGTTGAGGATGTTATTGTCTGAAGACATTTTGTTCAGGTATGTAACCATAGATAAAGATATATAATACGTTATTTAATGTTGATGATGTTATTGGGAACGACTTTAGTAACTACAGGTTGTGTGGTCAACAAAGCCATTGAGTGATGGGAGACTGTACAAGGTGGAATAAAGCGAAACTGGCTACACCTTCGATTTACACAGCAAGCAGATACTGGACAGGTGCGTTTATATAAATCTAAAATGCAAATTTACAATGTGATCATATGTGCACGTGTATTTTGTCCTAAACTTTATGGAAATATATAGCTATGCTTAATAAATGATGCTTGTTTGACTTTGTGCTGATGTTGATAATAGTTAGACATGATAGTAGTTATAAACAGTTGCCAAATAACAAAATTTTAAACAAAGTTTAGCAGTGTCTTGGTAGTTTAAACTAGTTTAATATTTGCAGTTAAATTCACACCATCAGATAGCAACTTTAGTATTCTACACATCTGCCTAAATGTATAGCGGGAGGTCGATCCAGTGCCGCTTGAGCCTAATTCTTGCACACTTTACAGATCTTATAAAACTGAGTGAGAAAATATACCTCGGCATTAAGCTGGTTAAGCCGTCCCAAGCCGGTGATCAGCAAGCTGATATCACTTCAGCCTTGTCAGACTGACTGTCCGACCCCGACAATTAGGAAACCTGAGCTCTGAGACATGCCCCTGTTCAAACACAGTAGGTAAGACTGCATGTCGTCGGCAGAGACCCGTAAAGACAGGGAACACGGTAAATGCACATATACCCGGTAGACGGGGAGCCTGTAGCAGGGAGGGCAACACTGGCAGTCAGTCAGCAGTAGCAAGCTGGGAAATGCAGGAAGCAAGGCTGTAACGTGAGTAACTAACGAGAGAACAGTCTATACATACACACATAGAGAATATAATTATTTTCAGACGATTTGTAAAATCTTGAGATATGAAAATAATTAAAGGAACACATTGAAATGATCTGCTTTCATGGGTTTCCACCAAATACGTGCTTGGAACACATCTCATCATTTGATTCTGACGTGTGTTGAATTTGTATGCGTGCTATTTTAAATGCACTGACAAAGCTTATTTCCCTATGTTTTTCAATGTCCTCTTTTTCGTTTCCCTCAGGAAATATGCTGTTGCCATCCCCCAATGGAACGTATCGGGCTACCGTTGTACAAAACAACCTTAGCACTACGACTGTCGTAAGTCTATGTTAGGTATGGGAGTGACGATCACCTTAGCGCTAAGATCGCTTTGTACAATGGCACCCTGGTCCACAACCTTGTTCTAAATCTTGTTGTGATATACTTTTTTCAATATTGTGATTGTTTTTGACAGTAAACAAACGATAATTATCTGAATTAATCTTATCTGCTTACAACTCATATCAATATTCATGTAGAAGTATTATGTTTAATACCATAGATCTAAACATATTGGTGTGGCTGAAAATAGCTGATCATATTTAACTACGATGGATTTAGATGGAGTTAGGCCCCTATGAGGTCTACAAATGTCTGTCAACGGTTCTGGTGTGTCTAGACCCCGCTGATGTAGATGGAGTTAGTTGGTTGCTGATTATGTTTCGACATAATCCCCTATGAAGTCCACATATCTGTGCCAACGGTGCTGGAGTGTCTGAACCCCGCTGGTGTAGAGCGCTCCTTCCTGGTAGTGTAGACGTCGTCCACATCAGAAACGTGATGAGTGGTGACTTGTTTGACAGGTGGCGTCGTACCCCGTCGAAGTGGGTCATTGGTCATGGCACTGACCACTTTTACTGTCCCTACTCGATTGCTTTATGTTAGGTAACGCACTTACATTTTTTTGGTATGGACATCGATACATGCGGGTCCTACAAGTAGAGTAGGGAAATGTCTCCCTAACTCCTGGGCCCACTTGCACAAAGCGATCTTAGCGCTAAGATGATCGTAACTCCCATACTTTAACATATGCTTACAATAGTCGTAGCGCTAAGATCGCTTTGTGCAAGTGGGCCCTGGCATCATCATAGACTGCCAGTGATCCATCCGTATCATTTTCACGGTAATTCTACTTTTTACGCCCAGTTAATACCTGTCGCTACATTATCGGGTTATTATGTGTTGTTGATAAATATATATATATATATATAGAGAGAGAGAGAGAGAGAGAGAGAAGAGAGAGAGAGAGAGAGAGAGAGAGAGAGAGAGAGAGAGAGAGAGAGAGAGAGAGAGAGAGAAATGTGTTTGTGTGTATATTCAGATTTTGATACTGCATACAATATTTATGGTTATGTTGCTTTGTGCCATTATCCAACCACCCTTTTGCGGATCTGGAGGCCTAAGTGTTGATCATTGTTGAAATACTGTTGTCAAGATCAATTTTTTTGAGTGAGTGAGTGAGTAAGTGGTGCTTTAAGCCGCATCAGCAATATTCCAGCTATTCGCGGCTAGAAAAACAAAATTACTTTCAGACAACATTATTTAAAAATGATGACGAAGATCACTAAAACTTCAGTCCGATATCACAGTAAACAGTTAAAAACTGACAGTCAAATCTAAAATCTACATCTTGTCATACAGTTTAATTTCTTTCAAATATGCTAAAACTAAGTGGTTAGAAATGGTATTGAAAAGTTCAGAAACAGTTTGAACAGTATAAAATCGTTGCCGAATAAGTGCAAAATCCACACATTCCAACAAAAGGTGCTTGATAGTCAAAGGACTATTGCAAGGAATACATTGAGGAGGGTCCTCTCCCTTTAATAAAAAAGAATGAGTCAAATGACTGTGTCCAATGCGACATCGTCTGATAACAACTTCATCTTGACGACTTAATCCAGTAGGGCCATGATTTCCAATCAAGGGCTGGATGGCATGAAGCTTATTCAATGTAAGTTTATTCCAGTTTTGTTGCCACATACTTCCAACATATTGGCATATAGCAGGTTTTAGGTCTGTGTACGGGAAAATACCCGTCGAGAACGATTTCCCAAGAGCAGCTTTAGCTGCAGAATCTGCTTTGGTATTTCCACTGATGCCAACATGACTGGGGAGCCAACAAAATATGATGTCATTATTTGTCACGGACAAATTCAAGTGACATTGCAATATTTCAACTAAAAAGGGATGGTCAGTTTTACGGTTGTTGATTGCTTGTAAACAGGATAAACTATCAGAAAATAATAAAGCTGAACTCTTTTGAACGTTTAATAAGCTGCAAGGCTAATAGTAGAGCCTTAGCCTCTGCCGTAAAAATTGAACTTCCATCGGTTAATCGTAACGATAGAGTGCCATCATTTGTAACAGCTGCAGCTGACACCTTATCACCATTTTTGGATCCGTCAGTGTATATGCTTGTATACCCTGTATATTGATGTCTAAGTTCTAGGAACGCTTGTTGGTATGACAACGAGTTCGTATCTGCCTTTTTCATGTTTGTTAACTCAAAATTGACTGTAGGTTGTATTGACTGCCACGGTGGCACTTCAGGTAGTTTATACGTTGCAATAGAAGACATGTTTAGATCGGCATCTATAATGTGCTGTTGAATACGGATACCAAGTGGAGGAATTGAGCTGGGTTTCTTATCATACAAAGGCTGATAAGGAGGATGAAAAACGATATTAAAAGCTGGATTGGATGGATTGGAATGAAGTTTAGTAACGTATTGGAGTGCCAGTTTTATTCGTCTGATATCGAGACAAGGTTCATTAGCCTCAACATATAAACTTTCAACAGGGGAAGTTCGAAATGCACCCAGACACAATCTAAGACCTTGATGGTGAATAGTGTTAAGTTCTTTAATGTATGATTGTCGGGCTCAGCCATATATGAAACAACCATAATCTAGTTTAGATCGAATCAATGTTCTATAGAGATGTAACAGAGTTTGTTGGTCTCCGCCCCATTTTGCATTTGATACCACCTTAAGGATATCAAGTGCTTTCAAACATTTAGCCTTTAGATTTTTTATGTGAGGTATAAAAGATAACTTATGATCAAAGGTAAGACCCAAAAACTTGGTGTCTTTGACCACTTTTATAGGAATATTATTCAAAGTCAATTCTGGATCTTTATGTAATTTCCTTTTAGTGCAAAAATGAATACAACAGGTTTTAGTTTTAGAGAACTTAAAACCATTTTCTAGAGACCATTTTTGTATTCTATTTAGGCAAAGTTGTAATTGTCTTTCAATGGTATTCATATTTCTACCACGGCAAGATACATTGAAATCATCAACAAATAACGAACCATCAATTTTTTCATTTAAAACCTTTGCAAGGCTATTAATTTTGATGCTAAAAAGTGTCACTGATAAAATACTGCCCTGAGGGACCCCCATTTCTTGATCATATATCTCAGATAATGCGGATCCCACTCGAACTTTAAATTGTCTATCTTCTAAAAAACGTGCAATAAAATCAGGCATACGACCACGAAGACCCATAATATGCAGATCTTTTAAGATGCCATATTTCCATGTTGTATCGTATGCCTTCTCCAAATCAAAAAAGATTGATACAACATGTTGTTTATTAATAAAACCATTGCGTATAAATGACTCTAATCTAACTAAATGATCAATGGTGCTCCTCTGGTGCCTGAAACCGGACTGAATATCAGTTAACAGGTTATTAGATTCCAAATACCAGACAAGACGCTTGTTGATCATTCGTTCCATGGTTTTACAGATGCAACTTGTTAAAGCTATTGGACGGTAATTAGAAGGATTCGTGTGATCCTTCCCTGGTTTTGGCACAGGAATGATAGTAGCCTCATGCCAAGAAGAAGGAAAATTACCCATTTCCCAAATAGTATTGAAAATGTACAAGAGGGTCAACTGAGACGACACAGGTAGATGTTTCAATAATTGATAATGGATATCATCTGGCCCACATGCTGTATCATGAGCTTTATGTAGAGCCTCTTGCAGTTCACTTAAGGAAAAAGATTCATTATAATCTTCAGAATTATCTGATTTGAAATTAAGAATCTTCTTTTCCTGCTGATTTTGATATCTTTGAAAGTTAGGATCATAATTGGCAGACGATGAATTCTTACTGATTGTTTCCGCCAGCTTATTAGCGATGTCCTGTTTGGAAGTTAATGTTTCATTTTCAGCTGTTAAGTGTTGTACACTGCTAGAAGACCCTTTACCTTTTATCCTACGAACCATATTCCATACTTTATTGAGTGGAGTACGTGAAGTCAGTTTGGAAACAAAATGTCTCCAGCTGCTTCGTCTGTTTTGCTTAATGGTTCTACGAGCTTTTGCTCTTGTAATCCTTAAGTGTTTTAAATTATCTTGAGTCGGATGTTTATTAAAAACTCTTTCAGCCTTCTTCCTAGTCTTTCGAGCTTTTTTGCAATCATCATTGTACCATGGTGTACTAACACGTGGAACTGTCGAGGTTTTAGAGATTGTTTCAGTGGCAATGGTGAGTAATGTTTCAGAAAACAGTTTGATTTGATCACTATCATGTAGGAAATGGTCAACTTTCAATTCAGTATCGCACAAAGAACTAAAGGACAGCCAATCAGCCTTGGAAAATATCCATTTGGAAATGGAACTATCCACAAAGGGACACATAGCTTTAAGCACGGTAGGAAAGTGATCACTACCGCACAAATCACCATGAACTGACCATGAAAACTCATTATACAGTGACGGGTCAGAAAAGGACAAATCCAAAGCTGAGTATGTACCTGTTCCTGGGTGGAGGTAGGTGTTACTTCCATCATTAAGCAGACATAGACTATGCTTATCAAGAATGTCTTCAAGTACTTTTCCCTTGTCATTACGTGTAGATGAACCCCATAAGGGATTGTGACCGTTCAAGTCTCCCACAAGAAGGAACGGCTTGGGAAGCTGG